GGTGAACCGGTCTGCGGACTACGATAATCTGATGAACTATCACGGGTTTGGTATCGATGATTACCGTTACATAGGCGGAAACAACCAGCAAGACAGCAGATTCTCAAACTCCCATCATTTACACGACTTTGTTGTTTGATGTTATGGTTCTTGCCACAGAGGACATGATTCTTGAAGCGCAAGACATGTGCTTTTTGCATTTTTATAGTTAGGCATATGATACATTACATTAAAACCCATAATTGTGGCATATAAAGTAGATGTGTAGGTTACATTTGTGTATAGTACACTTGTAAGCCAAATATTGATATGTTTGTATAAAATTCACGGTGGGTGGTATAAAGAATACTTGCAAGTGTTGATTTTTGATAATCATCTTTTGAGATTCTCTTACTGGACTTTGGAAACGGCATGGTGTTTCTAGTTTCTGGAAACAAAACGGCACTCAGTCTCATTTTATTATAATTTACTCGGACCTTTACTAATCAAAACGAAAATCCTCCGAGACCATCAGTCCTCCGGTTTCAATGGCGGTTTTTCAGTCGCCAAGGTTGTTCCCGGAGATTCCTCTCCGTTTTGCTCCTATACCACTGAATTTTACATATCGTAGGAGAGTTTCCATATTCCGACCATTGTCAGCGATCGGCGATTCTCGGTCCGGTGAACCAGATTCAGAATCCCGGAACAGTGTGTTCATTCTCGGGACGGGTTTCGTCGGAGGTTTTTTCGCGCAACAACTCAAAGACGCAAACTGGTACTTGTCAGATATCAATTTCTCTCCTCATAATCAAATACGATATTACGGATCTTAGTCTTGGATAGGTTCATATAATGATATCAAATCCGATCATTGTTATTAAAAGAAGATAGATATTGCCTAATGGTGAGGTTTTAGTGTGGTTTCAGGGACTTGCAGGAGTGATTCGAAGAAGAAAGAATGGGAAAAGAGAGGAATTGATCTTCATCTCTTTTCTGCAGATTCACCTGAGTAAGGGAGCACACTAGCACAATTTATCTTCCAAGGTGGTAATCTCTAAATCTGATTCTTAAAAACTCTTTTTTGTTTCCTTGTGCTAATCAGATGGAGCTTGCTAGATACAGTGAAAGATTACACTCACCTACTCGTTTCGATTCCACCTTTAGCAGACATTGGTGATCCGGTAGGCTAAGATTTGCTTTCTTCATTGTGGTTTCATGTTTGATATCTATGCCTAATTGACAAAAAAAACTAATCTTTGATCATTTCTAACAGATGTTGCGGAATGTAGAACTTGTTAGGGACAAGCTTTCGAGTGGGAATCTTCGATGGCTTTGTTATCTCTCATCGACAAGTATGATTCCGTTTTCTTTTCCTCATTACGTCAATGCTTGGTGGAACCTCAAATTCTCTTCTTCTTGTGGTTAAAGGTGATGTATTTTTATGTTGATTCTATTGCAGGTGTGTATGGAGATTATGGTGGTGCATGGGTCAATGAGGAGTAAGTTTTTATTTTTTACCAAATTGCGTCTCTTTTGGTCATAATAAAAGCTTAAGATGGTGACTTACAAGGTGATTCCATTGCAGTGATCCGCCAAATCCTAAAACTCAAACGGCCAAACTGAGGTTAGCTGCAGAGGAAGGATGGTTAAGCTTGGGTCGTGATCTTGGGGTCTCTACTCAAATCCTTCGACTTGGAGGTATCTATGGACCTGGTCGAAGGTTGTTTACAGATTTTGCCTGAGCTTGTAAAATGAACAAACTTTTAAACTGGATTCTCAGAAGTAATGTTTCTTGTTTCAGTGCGATTGATACCTTGATTAAGCGGGAGCGTTTGTCTGAAGATCAAAAGAGAAGGGCGTCTCGGAAATTCACGTCGAGAGTCCATGTCGAAGATATATGCCAAGCTCTTCAAGCTGCCATTGAAAAGCCATCATCAAGGTGATGTATACGAATATCCTTCTTCATGTTCAGTTTGTGATATCAAGTATGACCATTATTTTTTTTGGCTGATGATTCAACCATTATCGCAGGGAGATCTACAACATTGTAGATGATGATCCAGCACCAAGAGAAGAAGTGTTTGAATATGCCATGGAGTTGATTGAAAAACGTTGGCCAGGAACTGTCAAGACAAAACCATTTCTGTATGAATCTCGGGAGGAGAGTTCATTGAGAGGCGAGAAACGAGTCCGTAACAAACACATGAAGGATAAACTAGGAGTGAAATTGCTACATCCTTCGTATAAGTCGGGACTGCAAAGCATCGTCGAGAAGATGGACAACCCTTTTTTAGCACAGGACATGAAAAAATAGCTGAGCAGAATCTATTTCATGTTTACTTTTGAGTAGTAGTGACTCTTAGCAAAGACAGATTTAGCTTATCCTGTTTTTCTTCTGCATTCTCCAAAAATGACTACTTTGTTTCATTGGTATACATTATCCCCAAGTTACAATGAAACACAGAATAAAAAACAAAAGAGGGGTCAAAAACGCTAAACTCTAATCCAAAGCCAGACCTCTTAGCTATTGATGAGATGTTGTCATGTTCTCTGGCTAGGGCCCTGAAATGTGGAAAGAAAGATTTAGCAGTTGAGGAATTCGACCTTGTTTTTAAGAGGGAAAGCAAACATATTGAGTCTCGTAGTTCTTTTACCTCAATGGTTGAAGAAGAATGACTTGGTCTTCTAATAATACTATGTCTAGACCAAAAGCTCTTCTTCGATGTTGACTCTCTGGCTATGGGTTTACTACACTTGGAGCTGTTGGAACCGAAATGCCATTTCAAAAAAGACTTAGACGATGAGCCTTTCGTACTCGAACTAGGATCCATCTTCAGAGCTTTTCCTTCTCCTTTTCCCATTTTCTGTAGTTCGTTACATTCGCTACCAACGTAACTATCTATCACACGGTTTTTACATCTTTTGTAGTTCCTTGCCTTCAATTCTGCCTCAGCCTTTAGGGCTTTCTTCGATATTTTCGCAACATGTTTCTCCCCAATTGCGCATATGGGACATGGAGGATCATACTTTTCCGTCTCACTTGTCATGGTCTCTAAGCATTCCGCATGGTAAACATGGCCACATGCTAGAACAGCAGCAATTGGAAGGTCAAATCTGGCAATTGAAGACCTCTCAGTTAAAGGCTTTGAGCAGTTCCCACAAATCTGCTGATCTACAGAAGGGGAGCACGAGAATCTGCTACTACCACACCCACTTAGTCTCCGTCGTCCAGAACCTAAGTGTTCACTATCAAATGACCATCTCTCCCTTTGAGATTGAGCCACAAGCTCACAAACGGCGTTCATGGACCAGCCACCTTCAGAAGAAGCAAAATGGGACCCAGTGGCAAAGTCATTGCTACAGGTCGAAAGCACAAAGGACGACCTTCCTTCAGATGCTGAATAATTATTAGGAGATTTCAATCCCAAAGTTGGACTATCGGAAACCTGCCTAAACAACTGCTGCCCAGGTGACCCTCGAGCTCGTCTAGATAGAGTTGATCTGGGAGGAAGCAGATGTGTGTGAGCTGATGGAAGATCGCAGACGGAGCTGAAACTTGAAGGCTTTGGTAAACCTGCTGAAACAATATCTGGTGAGTCCACTAAATTCTTCACCTGAGAAATGAAAGACAAAAGGAGTCAAGACACTCTGAAGGATAGAAAACAGAGTCTCCAAAGGGAAACACGCATGCAAAAGAACAACCCACAAAGTAAATTTTCTCACCTGAACACAAACAGGGCTTGTCGAGGATACATCTGCCCAAATAATATAAATGAATAAGAGACAGCAAACGGTGTAGCAAGCAAGAATAATTCATTACAGTGAAAAAAAGCTAATCTGATACCAAAAACTACACAGCAATGCTACAAAATTAGACCTCTAATCAGAAACTATGAGGCACCTACATCTAACCCCTACAGATTTGCTCTCTCTTCATCTTACCTCTTTGACAGCATTGAGTAGACGGGAAATATCAAAAGAAGGAACTCTAATTGACACAAATAACAGTGTAATCTATCACTGAATTAAGCTTTCCAAAACGAAGAAATCGAAAAGCCCTGCATTTTCATCAAAGCTCCACAAATTGTTTTGGGCGAAATTACCTGAAGCAGACTGAATCATGGCACTTGTGCCCATTAGAGGAGGCAAAACCATCGAAGTTGTGCCCATTTCTGAGTTTGCAGGATTCCGAGAGGCAGAAGTAGCTAAATTCCCAGGAAAGCTTCCCCTTTCAGATCGAGGTCCTCTCTCTAAGCCTAACGACATCTTATTCATCCTATTAACCCTGCTCCCAACATAGGTGTTATGATATGGTGCTTCTTCGATCTCATCAGCCACACGCCTCCTGTTATCCCGCCGAAAACTCCAAGGTGGTGAGCACATTGGATTATGAATAGCTCCACTTCCAGGTCGACTAGGAAGATCTTTGTCCCTCACACTCGCAGCCACACAGCAAACTGACCCCATAATCCTTTGAGATAGCTAGTGTAATGACTACACTTATGTCTTACAAAATCTCCAGGATCTATGCAGCAGTAGTGACAACCATTATCATCCTAATCAATCCCTGAAAAAAACATATCACAGTAACCAACCAGTAAAAAGAGTGTTTATGAAGAACAATTAAAAGTAGATAAACTAGCAAAACCAAAAATACTGAACCTAATTCCAGTTTTGCTGTACTTGCTATCGATTGAATTTAGTCATGGAAATGCTAAAGGCGAGAGATTTAATAAACATTCAAGTAGGAGATACTTCAAATCTACAGCAAAAATCATCGAATAAAAAGGAAAAATCAAAAGCAACAGTGATGATTCTAGAATCCAAATGTTTATGTACAGATGAGACAGATTCCACAGCGAAGGATTGTAACGAGGACTCACCAGACCAACACTAGGGTTTCCGCGTGATTGAAACGAGGCAATGTGAAGATGCGGCGGATTCAACGTCGGAGAGCAGTTCCAGATACTCGCTGGAGAGAGCCGTCGTCTATCGGGACGACCGAAATCCGATCTGAGAGAGAGAGAGACGCGGAGGTTGGGAAGAGGAAGCACGCGCGCACAGAGGAACTGTGCCACGTCCCCACTCTGACTCTCTCTCTTTTTGTTTTTTTAATTCCGTGTTACTTTTGCTTTTCTCTATTTCCGTCTTTGGTCCCCAATATCTAAAGATTATAGGAAATTTGGTCTATTTGCATTACAAGTTGTTAGGCATGTCAATTAGGATAAAACTCCGAAGTCTGTCCCGGCCTACTCTTTAAAAATATGGGATTCGAGCCTAAATATATAAGCACAAAAAAGATCGGGCTAAATCCATTCAGACCATTGAGCTTTTGAACTTTAGTTTGGTTGGGTTCGGACCGGTCCGAAAAACCCGAAAATAAATATATAATTTATAAATTTAGTAATAAATTTTGTTTAAAGATAATTTTATTAAAATAATTTTTATATATAATTCGTTGGCCAAAAACTCTTATTCTACTACTTAGACTTTTGGTATTTTGCTTATGTTTTATTTGACAGTACTATTTATTTATAATTATTTGAATTCATTTGGCATTTGTATTCATTTGGTCACACTTTTGCTTTTAGTTAAACTGGATTTCGATGAAAACATATTGGTTTAAATCAAGA